CTTGTCATAATTCATACAGCTTATACTCTTATATTAATTCATGTTCAAATATTCCGCGCAGTAAATCATTCGCGAAAATCAATATTTTGAGAGATCGTTGAATATATAATGATAAATTTAAATTTAAAAAATTTAAAGACGATAAAAACATATTATATAAATAAAAGAGTTTGTTTCGACAATATAAAATATTGATTATAAAATTTAAATAAAATAAAATATTTTAATGTTTTTAATGAATTATTTTTTCTCCGTATTGAATAATGCAATATTTTATACGTTTAATATGTAATAAAATTCTTACTTTTTTTATCTTTTATTTTATTATTATATATTTATCTTATTATTATTTTTCATCGCTTTATTTTAATAGATAATGTCTCTTGTGATAAAATATACTACCTAACCTAAATCTAATTTAGCGCCTTTTGAATATTTCGACAGCTGAAAAAAATAAAGCGCTAATAACGAGTGTATCACGTATAATCTGTGTCAAATATAGACATACTTTTAATACTCTTTGAACAATTGTTGAAAGTATAATAGTAGTAATATATTAATTAGTATTTTAGAAATTCATTATTATCAAATTATTTGTTTAGATTAATTAAGATTAAAAAAAGATTAATTACATTCATTACATTAGGAATTTTATTTGAAGATAATTTCACAGGCTCAAAGTTTTTAAGAATTATTTATTTCTGATACAAAACTTCTTGTAAGTTTTATATTGTAAATTTATTTTTTTTTTTTATTCAATTTATTCATTTTCGGTAAATATTATGAGTCAATACTTTTTTCAAATTTTTCGCATATATTCAAATATAAGCGAATAGAATATTAAATATTTTTATTTCTTCTATAGAAGAACGTTTCAAATATTAAAAATAACTTGTCTTAAAACTAATTGAAATTTATTTTAAATATAAAATAAATATTAATTTTTATTTATGAAATATTAATTTATTTATTTATGAAATATTTAAGTTAAATATTACATAATTTCTATAAATATATATTTTCTTTTTCTAAAATATATTATTTATTCTAAAAAATCTGTAAAAAATTTGTAAATTTGTAATTAAAACAATATTTTCTAATATTGTATTATAATATATTAATAT